AACTGTTATGCTCAAATACAAAGTCCTCACATGTATTAATGATTCTTCTACTTTAAATTAAAATTGGTTGTCTGCATTTAGTGGGGAACGTTGGTGATTGTAATTGCTCTATATTTCAACAAATAACATCTCCCTATCTAGTAAATGCATGGTCAACACCAATCCAGTTTTAGAGCTTAACGTGGAGCATATGCATTAGAGAATTAGATGCAAAAAATGAGCGATTTCCATTGGAGTTGGTTTTGGCTTCTATATGAGCGTCTGAGAGAGTAATTTTCCATTGTTTCTATTGTGTTGCTTAATTTTCAAGATCTTGTCACCAAACAGTTGTCTTTAAATATTATGGATTTAAAATAAAATTAAAATGTAAATTAGGCATACCCTTAAGTAGCTAGAGACTCGAAGTTAGGCAAGTTTTTTTTTTCCCCTCAATATTAAAGCACAGTTCTTCCCACAGATAGTTGTTAACATTTACTGTATAATGTTTCTCACACCCATCTATGTACCTTATGTTATCTTGGGCGAAAAGTTTCTAATGACTCAGAGAATGTTGTTGAGCCATGGAGAATTGATACCGTATGCAAAAGTCACCAAAATATTCATTGGATAATACCAGGATCAACTAAATTGTTAACAGATATTTTAGTTGAAGATTAGTTTATGAAAGAAAATGACAGAGAATAATTTAATTGTTAAGAATGCTTTACGCTACACAATTATATTGTCTGAAATTCATGTTTGGGGACTTGAACTTGGATATATTAGGTGAAAAGGTATTCAAGATCTCACTACTAGTTAGCTCGCTACACCTGCCTAGTTTAGTCTATGGCCATTGGCAATATAAAAACCTAGAAAGTTAAAGCATTTTTTCCATACAGGGCATGAGGACGTGAAGATCAGAATGGCGAAAACTTTGGCAGAGATGGAATTAACTGATCATAATAAATCATCTCTGGTCGATGAGGGGGTCTTAGATTTACTTCTTGTCTTGATCTCACATGAAAACATTGAAATGAGAATAGTAGCAATTCGAGCCTTGCTGAACCTTTCAAGCTTACGAATGAATAGCCAGGAGATGATAAGAAAAGGTGTTGTGCGTCCATTACTCGACATTCTCTCATGTCACTTATCATCTCAAAGTTTGCGTGAACTTGTAGCTGCTGTTCTTGTGAATCTTTCTCAATCAACAGCACTTCAAAATTCAGGAGAATCACAAGTTTTGATGTTGGAATCCGATGAGGACATATATAAACTATTTTCATTAATTAACTTAACAGGACCTGCTGTTCAGGTAAACATTCTCCGGGTGTTATATGCCATGTGCCTATCTCCCTCTGGTACTACTGTCAGGGAAAAACTGAGACAGGTAAAAAATCCCTGTTTTTGCTCTTGCATATTCAACTGCATGCTTTTGAAAATCAAGAAACATGTGTTGGTGTTCAATTTAGGATTTGTAGAGCGTTGGTGCTATGTGTTTAAAATGTCTTTCATCCTCAGATGAATTATGATCCTATCCATTGTTTTTATTCTGCAGTCTTTCCAATGAATGAATATGGGATTTAGTTCAATAAAAAATTAGGCCGTTAGATTCTCGTTGTGGAAAAGTCGGGGTGAATTAGGGATTTCCCTGTGAGATAGTGTGAGAAATCCTTGTAATCACCCATTCTTTAGTGGATTTATCAGTATTCTCCTGGGATGTAAGCTTACTTGAGCTGAACCATGCAAATTTGGGTATGCTTTACTTTTCTGTTCTCATCATATTCTACTCAGTTTCTCTTGTACTATGTCTAATAGTGTGCTACCATAAATATGTTATATGACTACTATATAACAACAAAAAGAATTTTGAGGGGCACCAAGAGATATGGTTGAAAAGAGGTATTAGAATGAGAATGTAATTGAGAGGGGGGGGGGGGGGGGGTGCATTAGANGGGGGGGGTTGCATTAGACTATTATATATGCATGTAGGAAATTTATCCTCCCAAGAGTTTGATACAGGACATTCTTTGTGTAACAGAAATTCTAACCTCTAACTTCAACCTGGTATAAATTCACTCACATCCATCTCAATGCCATTAATTTTGAACCTTTGTTGAGCCATAAAAATATTTAGCGTAATGTTGTTGTCCTTGTGGAGGAACAAAGAGCTTACACCATCAAGTCTCAAGCCATTCATGTATACAAGTTTTTCTTATACACCTACAAAGCATCCACTACCCTTCCAAATCGCCCCCTCGACATTGCTAGCTCAGAATATAATTTTGGCATAAAAACATTTGGCATAATTTTTTGGTCCTTTTGGTGGAACAAAGAGCTTACACCATCAAGTCTCAAACCATTCATGTATATAAGTTTTTCTTATACACCTTCAAAGCAGACACGAACGTACCAAATCTTCCCCTTGAAATTAATTTTGCTTTTACCCGTCGTGGATTTCTCTCTTCAAGACAGATGCTTTTTGAACCAAACCTCTTTTAAGAAGAGTGAAGCTCATAGTGCAATTTAGAACACAAATGGCTTCAGCAATCACAACTGAGCCAGTTTGGAGAATAACAACCTATGAAAGGGGCTGCAAGTCAAACATAGCACATGAACAAACTCTAAGCAGCAAGAGAGTAAGCACTAAGGAGAGTGCATCAAATTCTTGGAGAGTGGTCTAGGACACTGTTATTAAAACCGGAGCCCACTGGCTGCTTCAACCGGGAAAACCATGAACGGACCAAAATTCAGTCCGCTCATGAGATATTAACAGTTTACAAAAGAACTGATAAAAAATCAATCACTCGGTTGGTTCCACCATAAACTGGCTGAACAGGCCGCTGTTTCCCGTGTTTTTGGGTTCTCCTAATAAGAAAAAGAAATCAAAGTCCAGGAAATATGACTCAGAACATTGGCTCACCTCATTGCTGCTGATTTTTCTAACTCAATGGGCTGCTCCTTTTATAGCTATTTTCTCTCTCATCCCAATTCTTTAATTTCGATGTGGGACTTCAAGCAACCCCCGCTAATAGCAATAACACTTCTCCTGTCTTTTTAAGTCTTCACTGACCTATTTTCTTATCATGTGGTGGTACAAAAGTACTCTTTTGGTGTTAATTTTTCGGATGTTCAAACAAAGTTACAAATAATAATATTCTATTGACAAACACGAATCTGTATTTACTTTGAATTGGTGATGTGAAAATTAACCTCTTATTAGTAACAGCTTTGGTAGTACATATACAAATATATTTAATTATTTATTTTTTTACTTCCGGTTTGACTCTGGTTGAACCTTTTGACCCTTGACCCCTAGCCTTTTTCCGTTCAATGCCCGGGCCTGTTTTTAAAACGCTGGTCTAGGCTGAGCAACCTTTTCCTAATTCAAATTTGTTGAGGAATTGTGAACTGCAGTGGCATAATAAGATACTGAGATCCTACATGATGGAAAACCTTAACCAATTAGGTGTATGTCCTACTTTTACATACTATTGCTTCTTATAACTTCTCCACTAATGTCGGAATTAATAATTTCCAACCCACCCATAATAGCATGATCAAATTCACAACATTTGTCAATCCATTGAACTGAAGGTTGCTTTTGATGGGAAACAGACCACCCAGTCCTTGGCCTAATGGAAAATGATCAGGCTGAGAAAAAGTTCATCTCTGGAATCTACAGTACAAGTGCCAAAGATTTGATCAACATCGAATCCACCATATAACTGCTTTTGATTAAGCGTGCTAGAGTATATAAGTTTCTGTTCATTTGTCAGCGTACATTGACAGAGTTACTCCTATGATCGATCAACATGAAAGTTGCATGTTTATGAATTGAATTTTAATAATTGGAAAGTATTTGACATGAATTACAAAGTTTGACTTGGAGACTATTATTGTTTTGTTCTTATTTTATTATATGTTGATGAATTACCAGATGGGAGATTGGTAAATTCTCAATCTGCTTAGGTTTAATGCAAATTATAGTCTTAAACAGTTTACCGTGTACGAGTCATGCCAAGAAATTTCTTACGACAAGCTTGTTACATAGCCAAATGTTAACACTAGCCATGTCCATCTGTCTTCTTGTGGTTTTTATCCAAGTTTTACTCTTTGAAACTGAGAATTATCAAAAACAAGATTTATGGTTGCTCCTGATTTTGTTTCTGGTCCCTACTGATGTTACTTCAACCAACTTCTTCATCTGTAACATCAATTTTGTTTTATCAATTTATACATCTGTGATGCAAATAACTATTCATTTCTATTGTCTCCAAGTTATGCCATGAATTGGATGCTGTCATGTTAATGCTGACTTTTGGCTACATAATTGTCTTTGCAGTATTCTGCTGTGCAAGTGTTGGTTCAGTTATGTGAGCTTGATAATCTGAATTTAAGAGCAAATGCTGTTAAGCTGTTATATTGTGTGACTGAAGATAATGATGACGCTGCAATCTTGGAGCACGTGGAACAGTCATCAATTGAGGTATTGCTCAAAGTCATGAAGACTTCTGATGATGAGGAAGAAATTGCTTCTGCAATGGGCATTATTGCTAACCTTCCCGATCCCATGCAAATCTCTAAGTGGCTGTTGGAATCAGGAGGTCCTCCTATAATTTTTCATTTTCTTCCTAATGGCAAGAATATTGATCACCGAAAAAATCTGTTGATCGAGAATGCTGTTGGAGCCATATGTCATTTAACTGTTAAAACAAACCTATCATCACAGAAGAAAGTAGCTGAAGCTGGAATCATTCCAGTGTTGGTGCAGTTCTTAGAAGTGGGAACCAGTCGGACAAGAAGACGAGCTGCAATTTCTCTTAGTCAGCTTTCATCGAGTTCTCCTATGCTCTGTAAGCAAATTTCAAGGCATCAGGGTTTTTGGTGCTGCTCTGCTATACCAGAGGCAGGTTGCCCTGTTCATGGAGGAATTTGTACAGTAGAATCCTCATTTTGTCTACTAGAGGCTGGTGCTGTAGAACCACTTGTAAGAGTTCTAGGGGAGTCAGAACCTGGAGCCTGTGAAGCTGCTTTAGATGCACTCCTGACTTTGATTGATGGTGAAAGGCTGCAAAGTGGTAGCAAGGTGCTTGTTGAAGCAAACGCTCTACCTATGATGATAAAATTAATTAGCAATCCTCCTCGAAGATTGCAGGAGAAGGTTCTTAGTTCTTTAGAAAGGATTTTTCGACTGGTGGAAATCAAACAAAAGTATGGACCCTCTGCTCAAATGCCTTTGATTGACTTGACACAAAGGGGGAACAACAGCTTGAGACCTTTAGCTGCCAGGATACTTGCTCAACTAAATGTGCTGCATGATCAGTCCTCTTACTTTTAAATGGAGAATTATTGATCGCGAATCTGATTTGTTAATCTGGTTGACAATACTGATCCCATTCTCACTTCTGAAAGAACTGTCGACTAGGAATGGTTGATAACTATTCTCAGGTATAGAAATTCCTATTTTATAGGACTGAAGTTGTCGTCCCACTTATCTATTAATACGACGGGTGTAATTTTATACTTGATCAGTAGTTCATTGTGCATTCTTTACAGTTAATAATAGAATCCTGATTGTTTTATTAGTGGTAGCAAATAATCATATGAAGCTACTGCTGATTGACTTCGTAGCGAAGGTGTGTTCCAGAATTGTAGGGAGAATTCTTTGTAATAGATAAATAGTATTTGTAATTAGATACTATTCTCTCTTTTATGTTTGAATATATATGTTAATTTTTCTTAGGAAATTCAATTAAGTATGCTGTGAAGGTTGAAAGAGCTTTGGCCAAAGTTGTGTTCTAAATGCATAGAACTGACTGTAATGGTAGGGAGATTCAAGTTGGAATCCTACTTGATCTCTCTGTGTGTAGATGGATTATAAAGCTCATTTTTATGAGTAGCCCATGTCTGAAAAATTACTCCCGTCTAAACAAATGCAGCCCAAATATAAGACGAAGGCACCTAATCTCTTCTTGACAAAGACACAAAACGTTTGGGGCCGTTCTCTTTGTGTTTCTGTTTTGAGTTTTGAGTTTCGAATTCATTTTGTATTTTGTGTTTTGAGTGTCCATTTTGAAATTATTGAAAACGTGTTCTTTTTGTCATTTTATAAAAGTATTTCTCAAAACATTTTCCCAAAAGTTGGTTACATTATTTTCCATTCTCACAAACTGACCACCACCCACCATAAAATGAAGCCAAACTCCGGTGAGCTCCGGCTACCAAATCCGCCGAGCATTACCACCGGTTGACAACCCTCACTTCAAGCTTCACATACCACCAAACTGAACCCAATTCCAATAACTACAGAGGTCGAAATTCGTGTTCAAAGTTCGCTGCCTTCTCAACTGAAAATTGCCGGAAATCAAGATTTCGGCCACCCCCATGGTCGGAACACACCTCCAGACAACTCCCCAACACCAGACGACCACAACCATGCCACCAATTCACAGTAAACAACAACAGAAAACTTCATTTACAATCTGGAAAAATCGTCAGTCGCGAACATCGCGACACGGCAGCGAAGAAACTAAATTTCGGCGACGGCAGGGACACCCACGATCGCGGACCACCTGGGCTAGGTCCCTCTTCACCTGGCGCACCTAGCCCCGGTATGGGTCTTGGTCAATTTCGTCCAGAAGTTGCTGAATTTGTGGGAGAAATTAAGGCAGTCTGCGAAAAATTTGGTGAGTTTGGCTTCATATTTCTCATTATGATTGAATTGTTGTTTGTGTGGTAATTGAAGAGAGGATTGAGGGCTTCACAGTGGTATATTAATCCGGCTATTTTGAAGGAGGTTGGCCGGAGGTNTTTCCGTTTTCTTCACATTTTTTTTTTCGTTTTCAAAAATTCGTTTTCGAAAATGACAAAGAGAACGAGTTTTCACCGTTTTGAAAAATCGAAAACAGAAACGGGTTGAAAACGGCAAAGAGAACGGCCCCTTAACGTTTCATTTCCAAAAATTACTCCATCTTTCTAATGGTCATTCTCGACTCTCTCTCTTTAAACACTTCGCTTTGGTAGAATTCATGTTGATTTTATTCTTGTAATTTGAAATTCATTCTTTTATGACGGATATATTGATCAATAAGTTCTTTTATGAGAGAAAATATATTGTTTTCATTTTTCTGAAAAGTCAAGCTAATCTTAGTAAAAGTACACTCCATGATGGATTAATCAAAAATCAACATTCATAACTTGCTGAGTAAATAAAAGAATATTATATTTCAAATTCTAGACGGAACGACTTAAATAAATGATGTCCTTTAACACCTTTTTTATTATCATTATTATATTTGAATTTTATTACATTGACTTTCTTAAGTTTTAGCAACCCTTAACAAAAATCCTGAATTCGCACTCTCGTCAAACATTCGCAAGATTTCAGTTTCATTCCCTTGCTTATAAATACTTGGTATCATTTGAAAGTAATTGCAAATTGGTAATCGCACTCTATAAAGCAAACTCTACTTCCTCATATCTTCTCTATTCACGTTTCTCCCAAACCCTAAATATCTGTTCGTTTATTAACTTGAGCGTCTAAGTTTGCACGATCGTGGCATCCCTCACCGTTGATTGGAGATCCGCCTATAACGTATATGCTGAAGTGTGTAAATATCATACAAGTGAAGAAAAGAGGAGTGGAGATCTGTTGACACGTTGGATCCCAACCAAATCCAGAGGGCAACAGAATCAGTACATGTCCAAACATCATTGAAATTTAGATAGCATTTGTTGAGAAAATGATATTTAAGTCGTTGAAGCTTCTGTACTTTGACTAGAGGAATTTATGTATGCTGTTTGAACTTCGAGGATGTTCAATTGGGGTGCCACTTGGAAGAATGTCACCTAATTGACTAATACAATTTCTATGGCCCCACTTCATGATGTGTCCTCCCCCAGTATAACCCTCTTCATCCTCATCATACCATTTGAAGAAGTTTTTGTCTTGCCTCTTGACATCTCAATTGAATACTCCTGACATCACTGCTTCACACAAACAAACGGTTGGGATACTGCACAAAAAGTGGAAAATGGTTGGGGCAGAAAAGAGTATACTGCAAAAGCATATACACTTGCCTCACCTTCACCGGAATCACCACCATAGGATTAATAATAGAAAGAAGCAACAAGTGAGAGATGTTCCAAAAGGGTGTTTGACTATAAAAGTTGGGCAAGGTGAAGATGAGAAACAGAGAATTGTGATCCCTCTTACGTATTTCATTCATCCTTTGTTCTTGAAGCTGTTGAAAGAAGCAGAAGAAGAGTATGGCTTCGACCACAAAGGCACGATAACCATTCCTTGCCATGTTCAGGACTTTCGATATGTTCAGGGCATGATCAATGATGAAATGGAACAGCATCAGACACATCATCATCACGTTGGCTGTTTTAAGGTTTGACAGACACAACATGTGTCAAATTTAAGGAGATGAAGCCTAGTTCTATTTCTTTGAATTTTCTATGTTCTTTATGCTAATTTTTTTATTGCAGTTAAGCTAGTTCTTTTGTCATTTTGTAAGCAAAGAAATTGGTACTATGTTGTTTCTGTATACTATTATCTAGAACTAATTTAGTAAAGACAAGAAAAAAGTACCGAGTTCTTCATACTATTGTCTGATTGAAGAATACAGCATGCAGATGATATTGTGGAAGAGAGAAACATTAGTGTTGGAAACAGAGGAGATGAAGAAGAAAATGGAAACCCGGAAAAAATAATCAAGATTTGAACAATTGAGAACATTGTCTTACAGCTATATTCGCCCCCTTTTGATTCTTGAGATTGCTTACAGGATGCACCAGCAAATAGTTTTGAGGATTAAACAAGCCTTCAAAGATTAGTCACAAAGCCATAAGTGAAAAATCCGAAAAACCTTTAAGATGATTTCTGAATGGTTTATTATTGATTATTAAACTCGATGCTCCTATTTTAATGTCATCCTGATTATTATCATAAAAGGCTATGCAACTCCACAGAAATTTGCCCTGATTAACCATTTTTACATTAAATCATTGATTTATTAAACACGGTGATTTAATAATGTTAATTCATTCTAATAAGTCTGAGATTCATTAAGAAAATTTACAAGTAATCTAAAAATATTTGGCTAAAATTAGGGAAAATATTGTGTTATTGTTACATCTATTCTCAGGGCTGAGAGTTAAAGAGTAAACATAATGTTGAGTGAAACAAATATCATATTCATTCAAATCGAACATAATAAGATCAGAATTTTGAATTAGAGGTTTAACAAGATAAGAAATCTACATACATTGCTGAAATGATTGGTGCATAATCATAGTGGGGCCTAATCACCTCAACCATGATCTCCTAAGGTCACTGATTGAAGATGGAGAAACCTCTCCTGGAAGACTCTCTGTATAGCATGAAGAATAGTGGGATTGTTGTTCAAACCCTGCCAGATGTACTCCGCTAGTAACGCTCTTAAAGCTTGGACTTCTCAAATTATGACCCCCATAATTTCCGTAGGTTTTACCTACACTGTAATTGCAGGGGTCTGGGACAGGGTACAATAAGCGCTTTTTTGCTCCCATTCTTTCCCTCTCTGGTGTTGACGGCCTCTGTCTTGGTGCACTCTGTGACCGAATCCTTGACTTAGCAGACTCAGTTGCAGCCATGTAATTAGGCATTGCACAACCAGTACCAATCGCATTTGTTGTGTTCTTAGGCTTATTGTGCGGATGCAAATGCCCACCACTATCGTAGGAGTAATCTGACCTTATGCTTGGAGTTTGAGCCATGTGGTAGCTTCTTTCTTCTCTTGCACAATGAGGACTAGCAGAACGGACTATGGGTCTTGTTTTAGATGGTGAAGGCGTAACAGGGGAATACAAGGGTTGACTTTGGTGGGCAGCTCCTGCCCTATGAAGAGGGGAACTTGGTCTTCGCTGATGTTGAGCACTCGACATTCGGAAATTGGGAGCTAAATATGAATAAGGCTGTGGAGTGTCGTCAATTTCCACGGTTTTAACATAATCCCTTTGATCAGTTGAGGCTCTTCCTCTGCTATCCCATGGCTTTGTTGCCATCCACCTGTTTAGCCACTGGTATTTTTCACCAAGCTCATTTTCACTGCCTAATGATGTATTCCTACCACCTTTCCACATCTGCTAAATATATTGCGATGCATGAGATTTGCAATATTAGCTACCCTGAGTGGTATTTTTCTCTTAAAGGGACAAAAATGCTTCAAGGCTTTAATAACAAGATTCAAATTCAACAAAAGCATAAAAAGTATTAGGGATACAAATGTGTTGGCATGCTTACACAGTTAAAAGGGTTCACTAGTACCTGTTTAGGCAAGGCGTGTGATAAATTTCTTTCGCGCCTCAGGGCAGCTTCTTTTCTATTCTGTAACATTGCTTTTACCTCATTAATGGTATGTGGACGGTCATCCCAATCATCTGGAATGCTGCTTCCATCTCTTGACTGGAATTTACAGTCGCCATTGAATATCAAATTAAACTAACGAAAATGTACATAAAACAAGTTGATGCAAGGGAAAGTTAACCCCTTTACCATTGATTTCCTGTCAGAGAGAGACATATCTTGGAGGCACCGTGATTCCAACACACTATTGGTGTCGCTAAATGTCGATATTCTGCTTCCTTCGCTTGATTGCCTCTTGCATTGGTCAAGTACCTGAGCCTGCACTCGAACAAGAGCTTGCATGCATCTCAGGGTCATCTTCGCTTGCTTCCGCACATTGTGACCCCTTACTAGAGCTTGCAATTTTACAAGCCCTTTCAATGCACAAAGAGCTCTCCTTGCCTTCAGATATACAAGTAACAGACAAATCCATTAGCCCCCTTCTTCCCGTGGAACAATTAAAATAGAGAGAGACGACAAGTGTTCAAGTTAATTTGGTTCTGCCTATATTTGACAAGATAGAATTGAAGACACCTTAATGATACAATTGTCCCCTTTATATTAATTCAAGCAACTTATATGGACTCCAATGCATCTACATTATATCTAGGAGAGTTCTTTGTATACAATATTCAAACCATCGAAATAATAATTAGATCTATATAAAAACAACTCACTAGATATCCTCTGAAAGCTGTTTGAATGACAATGGCAGCACGATGCTCCTTTGCATAATTTGTGGGAGGCCTTGCAACTTCAGCTGCAGCTTGGGCTGTGACTACTGCAGCTGCTGCAGTTGCCACAGCCACAGCAATAGCATGCCTTTGGTGATGAATAGAAGCAGCTTCCAAAGAACTGGTCACTGAAGGTGCAGCACCGGCAGCATTGCTCGTTTTAGGCGGGGTTGCATTAATCTCCTGGTGGTTGAGCTTCCGAAAAAGCCATCTACGTTTCTCCCTCTTCTGCATACAAAAACCAGTAAAGGAATTTACTCATTGAAGGAAGTAAATCAATAGATTGACTATTCCAGATGAACGCAGATCAACTAAAGTTACCTTTTCTTCTTCCTCTTCTTGTTTATCTTGGTTTCTATTGTTCTTCTTTTCACTGTCTTTAACAGGAGATCTGAATGCTCTTTTGACCGCCGTCAGCCAAGATGATCCCCCTTTCTTTCCCATAAAAGATGGGCGATTGAATTACAGTGAAAAAAACAGCTAAAGAAAATGAAAAGAAAAAGATGTGTAGGAGCTATCTTCTCCTAACACTGCCACACTTTTGGTATAGGTTATGAAGATTAATGAGTAAGAGAGAGAATATGAATGGTAGCTAATTCTCTTGAAAAAGCTCTGATCTTTTTCTTTTTTCCTGGGGCAAAGGAAGACAGCGATGGAAGTGGGGTGTCAGAGAGAGTGTGGTCTGCAGCTTTAGATACAAAATTATTTAATAGGCAGACCCCAGAATGGAACATGCATGAGAAACGGTAAAGAAGAGAGAGATTATTTGTTATCCAACATAAATGTGCGTGAATGAGTGAGTGAATATCGAGAAAAGTATGTTGAAAGCTGCATCGCCAAGTCGTTGAAGGAGACAATGCACAGCAATCAAAACTCATGCCTTGGGAGAGAGGCACTTGCCTTTAGCTTAACTTTCTCACCACTTTCTCCTTAATAAACAACTGAACACCTCTCGTGGCATCACGTGTTCCCACCAGTACTCACCCAGCTCACTTGCCCATACATTTTGCCCATTGATTTGAATAAATGAAATTCAAATCAATGATCAAAATGCACGCCACCTCATCATTTGTCAAACTTCCTGTCAAATTAACAGTACATGTGGCATAACTGAATTTGGAATCGTGAAATAGGGGATGGGAAAATCTCTGTTTATTTCGCACCTTATTGTCCCATGTTGAATGGGACGGTCTCGCCTCGCTTCCGCCTCCTATAAATCTTCGACTGGATGGATTGTAAGGCTTCCCCGTTCTGTTACCATTTCTATTGTGAAATTTATCGAAAAACTATCAATAACTGATAAATAAAATGTTTCAATTGATCTAGACTCAAATTATAAAATGATTCAAATGTTTGGTGATACAATTGTTTTACACGCTTATTTAAACTCTTAAATTTATTTAACCATTGTTTGGTGGGGATTAAAATCTTGATTTTAGTATAAGTCAAAGTCACAATTAATTTTAACTTAATATTTTTTTTAATAGGATCCACAACTTTCTAACTACACATTTCATCGACTTTTACTAAAAAATTGACTTTTAGCTCCGTCCCGGCTTGTAGACAACTAGATCCACACGAGTGAGTAGGAAGGTGACTTACAAAAGAATACCATAAGTAGTAAGCTAAAGCAGACCTTCAATTTTTAGAAAAAAAAAGTATTTTTAATGAAAATTTTGGAAGACTTATAAACCATCTACCACTCATTTCATCAAAATGGTGTAGCTTTCATACCTCTTATTCAGTCATCTTCAAGTCATTACATCAAATGTTACGCCAAGAAAACAATATCTCCTTTATTTTCTTTTTTTTTTTATTCTCAAAAATTAATTATTTCAAAAATTATTTAATTACATATTCTATTGCTACTAAAATTATTAAATAAATTTTTTATTTAATTAACTAGAATATTGTATTTATTAATAAATTTTAAATTACACCAACACGGTTCATTCATAAATTTGGCATCAAGATTTGAAGTTGGATTGTAGGATAAATTTCACACCAAATTGACGTTTTACGCTAAATTGGCATTGATTGGAGATAGTCATAAATGGTGTTTTAGTATTCTTGAAATCTTATATTTGAGTTGAGTTTATTACTAAATCAATCTCAGATAAAACTTTTTCTACATTAAAAAGACAAGTCGAAGCTGGATTTGAGTTCAGTCTTTAAATTTCAGAGTGAATCATTTCAAATAAGTTTTGTTGAAATAAGTCCCCTCTTTTATCAATGTCTTCCGTCGTCGGTCCTTCCACTAGAAGAAAACCGAAAAAGAAAAAGAAACAAACAAAAAGCTTGGGGGCTTGATGGCAACTGCATACCCTTAACCAACCACCAATCCTCCATGGATTCCTTGGACTGTCTGCAATTGGACACGTATCATATCTCTGGGCGTTTGCTTCGACACTGCTAATTTGCTAATGAAACTCCACAAGAATTATATCCCTTTCTCGAATAATTTGCTTGGTACTTTTGACTTCCTAATTTCTATAAAAATTGTATCTTTGCTTCGGCCTTCAAGTTTAAGTTCTTCTTTTAGCAAAATTCATCAGTTACTTTGCTCTTCCATTAATCTACTTCATCTTCTTCATCTTTTTTCCCCATAATTCTGATCTGATGTTTGTTTGTCCTGAAATTCTTGAAAAAGAAAAGAAAAGGGGAAGTCATTTTTTCTCTGTGAAACTTTTTCCGGCTTACCATTAATACCCTCGCTCCGTTAAATCAAAATTGCGGAAAAAATGGCGGCTTCTGCTAGTGGGATTGCTGCTATCAACAATCTTCGGTTGATTCACGGTTCTTCGTCAAGAGAGTATAATTTTCTTACAACCCCAAAGCCCAACAAGCTCAAAGTGAGACCTTGTGCAAGAATTTCAGTTTCGGAGAGCTCTGGTTCTGTAATCACAAAAAGAAACAAGTTTCGGAATTTTAGGCTCCTGAAATCAGTAGAATTGGATATGTTTGTCACCAGTGACGATGAGGATGAAATGAGTGAAGGATTTTTTGAGGCAATTGAGGAACTGGAGCGCATGACACGGGAACCTTCTGATGTGCTTGAGGAAATGAATGATAAATTGTCAGCCCGTGAGTTGCAGTTAGTTTTGGTGTACTTTTCGCAGGAAGGGAGGGACTCTTGGTGCACGTTGGAGGTGTTTGAGTGGCTGCAAAAGGAGAATAGGGTTGACAAGGAGACGATGGAACTGATGGTGTCAATAATGTGTTCATGGATGAAGAACTTAATTGAGAGGAAGAATAAGGTTGGGGATGTGGTTGATCTTTTGGTGGACATGGATTGTGTTGGGTTGAAGCCAAGCTTTAGTATGATTGAGAAGGTAATTTCTTTCTATTGGGAATTGCGGGATAAGGAAGGTGCGGTTTTGTTTGTCAAAGAGATGTTAAGGAGGGGGATTACATGTTTGGACGGTGATAAGGAGGAGAATAAAGGTGGTCCGGTTGGATACCTCGCATGGAAGATGATGGTAATTGCTAAATACTCTCTATAACTCGTCCATGATATTTGCTATTTTTTTACGTCAGCAGATATATTTCTAGATACATGATGGTAATTGCTAAATACTCTCAGTAACTCGTCCATGTTATTTGCTATTTTTTTACGTCAGCAGATATATTTCTAGATACTCTCATTACCTAATAATCAATTGGATGCATGCAAAATAACATATATCAAGTAATGTTGATTTGCGATGTTATTTTGCGTGTTATAATTAAGGCGTTGTTTCGTCGTGCTCTTGAAATCTTACAGCCACTTTAGCAAATGCATGGTTAATTGCAATTATAAGAATTATACTGTTATTTTTTCCATCATGTCTTTTGGTGTTGGATACTTCGTTTGGTCAGTAAATATTTGAAGTGGACTCATTTTACTATCATGTTTGCTTCCCAAGAATTCTCGTGGAAAACATTGTCCAACTGTTGGAGCCAGGATTTCCTAGTTGGGTGGGCAAGTAAACAAGGTTAGTTGTATGTAGAAAAAGTTAGTTGTATCAAAGAGAAAGAGGGATAAGATGCATCAACAAATGGACGTATTCTACACTAAAATAGATATGCATCTCCTTTTCTTTGGGTAGTTCTGATAATTTTTTCTTTGTCCCAATTCCAAAACTCATGCAGATTTGTTTCTCACTCTATGCTTAACCATTATTAAGCAATTCTATTGTTGTTCTTGCTTTTCCCACTATTATTCCAGCAAATGATGTTATGTACATTCAATCTTATATTGTGATTTGTCTTATTATGTTGGAACTTACTTCATCAAGTGGTTAGGTAAAATTGTCTCCATACCGATGTTTTTGTCATATATGCCTCTAGGATGCCTGACCAAGAGAAGGGGACTTCTTTATTTGATCACATGTTATAGTAGCATTGACATTTAGAAACCGGTGGATCTCCTTTTCTACAAATCAAAACCATTGGACTACTGCTTTCTCGATTTAACATTAAGAGTTTTGTTTTATCAATGGATGATTACTTTTCCCTCTCCAGCCTTGTATTTTGAGCATTAGGTGAAGTTGATGTCCAGGGTGCAGAATGTACTGTTTACAAGACATGGTTTTGTTGTATGACTGCTTATGCTTAAATTCTTACTTGGTGTTTCCTGGATTTCCATATGACTATCTAGGATTGTGGATCTCGGAGTTAGACATGAAAACTGTCAAAAATTGGGACCTGGGAATTTGGTCTACAAGGGTCTTGATTATAAACTAATATTTAGATGCACTAAATTTGTTGTTCAAAATATGTGGTTTGAAACATTCGTGAATCCTCAGCAGAATATATAGGCAGATAAAAATTTTCATTTGCTGCTAGCTTAGTTCTATCACTTGTACTCGTCATCTATTCTGCCCGAGCCTGCTTGAGGAAGATTGATGTAGGACAACATAATTAGGGTTCTTTTTATTAGTAGGATCTAGTCTTACAATTTTGATTGGATTTCTAGTTATTGTAGGAGTATGTTATTAGTTTTCTTAGTTTAGTAGCTTTGTTTATTTTCTTAGTCTACTACGATTAAGAGATTACTTCTTCTTTCAATACCTACAGAAAAAGATGGCTAGGCTTGTTCCAAATGGAAATAGCGCCATTTGTCGCCAATCTATGGCCCGGTTGCAATGTCATCCTCATTTTATGGTTTTCAGGATGAAGTCTCTAATCTCTAGGTTAGGTACACAAGTAGTCCCTGGAGACTAAATCTGTCCATTTTGACAGTTATTGTGCATGTGAATTTAATGTGCCTAACTTTTGAAGGATAAATCGGTTTGACTGCTGTTGCAATTCCGTTCCCTGCTATAATTAGAAAAGAAAAAGAAAAAAGGAAATAGAAAAAGAAAGGAAAGGAAAAAGAAGAAAATAAAAATCCTAAAACCCAGCTCATGCTGTCACCAATCCACCAATGGCTCCCCCTGGCTCAGTTACAGCGCCCCACTTATTTCCTTCTACGCTGCAAGATGAATATGAAAGTTGGCAATGGGTAGGTTAATCCAGTGAATCCTTCTTTTGTAAAGCATGTCTGTAGATTTATGTATCCACTTACTAATCCCTCTTGCGGCAGTGAAGCAATTTTTGCAGAAAGATTTAAGTCACATTTTTGAAGTGCATTCCTGCAGACATGGTATGTGTTGATTTTGAGGAAACTTTTTCCTACGTTTTTCTGTTTTTAGTTCATTTATATGCTGCAGTTTTTGAGCATTCTGGTTCTTGTCCCTAGATCCAGTGTTCTTATAGTTTGCAGTTTAGAACCCATGAAAATATTTATATTCCCATATTCAGAATACCAAAGGAATATATTTCTTATTTTCTGCTGCATTTTACTCTGAGAACTTTTATAATGGCCATGAAAATGCCTCAATTATAGTGTGATATTGGAGATAGATAGGCTTGGGCGTTCATTTTCTGTCTAGTTCAATGGAGAAAATGGTGTTGGTCCAATTGATTTTTGCAGTTTGGGTTTTTCGTTTGTATGTAAGGTGAAAGCAAGGATGCTTACTCATATATTAAATTGATTGTCACTATTTGCTTTTCATTCAAATCAGGCAGAGTTTCCATATGGGGCTTGCTTAGTTGAATATATAATAATGAGAAAACCTTATAAAAGGATATGGTGGTGAAAGGTTCTGGTTGTGTTTCTGTCGGTGACAATGGCGGTGGTTGTGGAACTGGGACAGTGTGGTGGGGAGGGGTAGTTGGAGAAGACAAATGAATTTGTGTTTTTTTCCTTCTTATTTTTAACTAATGCAAGGGTTTTATGGTCTTTTCAGTGAAAAATGTTAGCATGTGATATTCACATGCACTGGAAAAATAGATGGATTCAGTAAGGGACTACTTGCGCACTCAAAAAGTATAAGTTGGGGACATTGTCTCCAACAAAAATAAAATGGGGGTGACTCTGGGATCGAGGCCCTAGGGTGGGGACGAATGGTGCATTTTTTCCCTGTATGTAATCATAATCAAATTCGTTATATTCAAGCTTTTCAAATAATGTTCTTAAGCTTTCACTTTTTCCCTTGTTTTTACGAGATTCAGTTTCTACTGCTGCACCAAATTGAACATGGTTTGCCATCTCTTCAGCTGTTGGGAGGCTGTTAGGTAGTCTGGTCAGAGGGATCAAGTCCAACGAATGTCCAGGAGGCTGGATGTACACAATCTCAAATAAAGACTTAACAGTGAAATGATTAGGCATACTATTGAAAGCAAACTCAATTTGTAGTTTGGTTAGGAGTAGATTATTAGTTTTTGTTTCTTTTTAGGATATTTATTCTCTTCTTAGCCTACTAGGATTTGGAGATTACCCGTTCTACCAATACTTATATAAGAAGACACCTAGGCTTATTTGTGATCATAATCAAATTCATTATGTTCAAGTTATTTAAATAATACTCTTAAGCTTTTAGCTTTTCCCTAGATTTTACAAGATTCAATGCTCCTAAGGTAAAATTTCGCAATAGCCTATAGGTGACCAGCCAGATCTATTTACTTGTATTTGCACTGCTATTTAATGGCATTTACTTATTAATATTATATAGCACTTTGAATGATACTTAACTAATGGAAGATAACACATTTTGAAAGCTTTGTAATTTCCAATAAATTAATTTCATTGTTGTTTTTGAAATTTGATAGTTAAAGTTGTAGTGAAGTATAAGGTTGCAATAGCAATGATGTACTGGGATGGTTGATAGTAATTGTGGTTTACTGCTTTTATCATGTGTAGAAGAGAATCATCACATACATTCTTCTGCTGTGGTAACCACAAAATTGGAATGAAATAATTACTTACTGTTATATCGATCACATGACACATTTTTTAGGGGTTTGAATTTCTTTTGATTTTTTGAACTTTCACAATGAGTCGTATTCGTTATAGCTTGAGAGCCTAAGTTACTCAATCTTGTCTCAAGAAGGTTGATCGATATCTTTTGTTTTAAAAAATGAAGCGATATTGCTCAATTGT